GAAAGAGCTGAAGAACAACCCCCACCGGGACTTCTACAACTGCCGTAAGGTAAATGGCAAAGCTTAGAGCCCTGATGACTCAGAAGACAAACTGTCTTGGTGCCTTCCCCTCCCAGAGAACTGGACATTAGAGTCAAGGCCTGTGGCATCTATGTTGTTCCTGCTAATGGGATGGTGCTGAGTGGGCTGCTCTTGGCCTAGGCCTATTGTCTTCATCTGCTGGGCTGAGCCGCGCTCCCCACACAACTTGGGCTCACCTGAGGGGTTTGCTAGCCCCCCCAGGATGGTACCCGAGCATCCCGACTTGAAGCTGGATAGCTGTCCCTCTGGTTTGTCAGGTGGACACACACATCCACGCTGCAGCCTGCATGAACCAGAAGCATCTTCTGCGTTTCATCAAGAAATCATACTGTCTGGATGCTGACCGTGTAGTTTATGATGCCAAGGGGAAGCAGCTCACCCTGAAACAGCTTTTCCAGCAGCTCAATCTGCACCCCTATGACCTGACAGTGGATTCCCTGGATGTCCATGCTGTAAGTGTTAGGACATCAGTGTGAGACCGCTTGGGTCGCTCTCATCCTCTGCTGTAGGCATGGCTTTTCCCCTCCCTGAGTACCCATGACGTGTTGTGCCATGTTAGTGTTTGTGGCAGGATGTAGCAGCTCCTGGCTTTCCCATTTTGGGTTGCTGGGACCAGTCCCTGCTCAGCTGGTGTGCTTGGACCCAGTGTGCCTGTGTAGTATTTGCCCCTGATCCCCCTTACTCCAGGGGCGGCAGACATTTCAGCGCTTTGACAAGTTCAATGACAAGTACAACCCCGTGGGTGCCAGCGAGCTGCGTGACCTCTATCTGAAGACGGAGAACGCTATCGGTGGCGAATACTTTGCTACCATCATCAAGGTGAGAATACAGGGGAGGAGAGAACAGTTAAGCCACGGTGCTGCTGTGCCCAGGGGCTGGAGGGTCCCCGTGTAACCGTCTGTCCCGGTGAGCAGGAGGTTGGCTCTGATCTGGAGGATGCCAAGTACCAGCACGCGGAGCCGCGCCTGTCTATCTACGGGCGATCAGCTGAGGAGTGGCCCAAGCTCGCCAGCTGGTTCAGCAAACATCGGGTCTATTCCTCCAACATGAAGTGGATGATCCAAGTACCCAGGATTTAGTATGTGCTGTGGTCTGAGAACACTGTGCCTTACAGTGCACTATACCTCATTTTTTATCCTGAAGGGATTATGGGGACAGTAGTCCACGTTGTTCCTCTGCTAGAGCTAATGCCTGTCTCTGTCCACAGTGATGTGTTCAGGTCTAAGGATTTCCTCCCACACTTTGGGAAGATGCTAGAAAATATCTTTGTTCCTGTGTTTGAAGCAACTGTCAATCCTCGAGCCCACAAAGAGCTCAGTGTTTTTCTACGCCATGTGAGTGTCACTTGATGATGTTGTCAGGATGTGGTGAGCACTCACATTCCTGTTTGTGCCCAAGAAAGGGAGTATTGGCCCTGACATGGAAATTGTCATTAGTGGGCTTGTGGCCCTACTGCCACATTCTGGGAAAGGGATGTGTCCCCAGAAGTGCTGGGAGGGTTCAGACTCCTGGAGCTGGCTGCTGTGGGAAATGGTGCCCACTCTCCTCCTGGAGAAGTGGTTTGGTGTGAGCTTTATTTCCAGCCTTTGGTAAAGCTTGAGGGTTTGTGAGGGCCAAGGTTTGCAACCTTGCTCCTGACTGTGCTCTTGCAGGGGGCAGGGGTACAGGCTACAGCTGGGCTGTGGCAAGATGCAGAGGGGCAGGGCAAGCCAGCCCACCTGGGCAACATGAGGTGGGGAGCTTTGAGATGCAGCTTTTTTGTTACCTTGCTAAACAGATCACTGGCTTCGACAGTGTGGATGATGAATCTAAGCATAGTGGACACATGTTCAGCACTAAAAGCCCAAAGCCAGAGCAATGGACTTCTGAAAAGAACCCGTCCTACACCTACTACGTATACTACATGTATGCCAACATCCTGGTGCTTAACAACCTACGCAGGTGAGGCCCAGGCTTTGCTAAGGGACCTGCGATGGGCTGGTAGAAGGGGGGCTGCCTCTTTGATTGTTGGTGTGGAAGAAGTGGGGCCCTCCTTGGTCTGCTACCAGTGTAGTGTGGAGCCTCGTGTCCCAGAGCAATCCTCCTTGGTAGGAAGTGTGTGGGACTGGGTGAAAACTTTGGGGTTTCAGAGATGCCACCTAACCCTGTTGCTTACCTGCTCTGAGTCCTCCTTCCATGTGCCTAGGCAGCGTGGTATGAACACCTTCCTCTTCCGTCCACATTGTGGGGAAGCCGGGGCCATCACACATCTGCTTGCAGCCTTCATGACGGCAGATAATATCTCCCATGGTCTCAATCTCAAGAAGGTAAGTGGAGTGCTCTGCCAGAGAGCAGCTCAGGCATGGCAGAGGAGGAGAACGTGTTCACAGCTGGCCTCCACTGTAGCTGACAATAATTGTGCCTCTGCTTTGGACTGACACAGCCTGGCTTCAGCCAGGTGTCACACAATTATCTGGGTTTCTCCAGGCATGTTTGGGGATGTAGCTGAGAAATGTATTCAGATTTCAGGGGTTCAGCCTCACAGAGCTATCACTGGATATGTCTGTTATCCTTGGAGCCAGCTGAGTTCTGAGATCAGACAGGTTTGAGTTTGCTTGGCCTTTTGTGCTCCAGGATTGTTAGCTTGCCTAACTCTTTTCTTGCACACAGGAGCTCTGTGCACAGGATTTCCTGGCTGGGGCACTGGGCTGACCTGAGGAGTAACCCTAGAGAAGTGGAGGGCACAGCAACTTCATCCCTAACCTGTCAACTCTGCTTATCTCTGCAGAGCCCGGTGTTGCAGTATCTGTACTTCCTTGCCCAAATCCCCATTGCTATGTCCCCACTCAGCAACAACAGCCTCTTCCTGGAGTATGCAAAGAACCCTCTGCCAGACTTCCACCAGAAGGGCCTCATGGTGTCCCTTTCTACAGATGACCCCATGCAGTTTCATTACACCAAGGTATGGTGGGAGCTGACCCCCTCCTGCTGTCCGCACCCTGGGGCCGGGGCTGTGTGGGCCCCCGGGGAGCAGCAGAGGCTGGGCCTTGGGGCAGCTGGGCTGTGCCAGCCGCTAACACTGCCTGCGGCTGCAGGAGCCGCTGATGGAGGAGTACGCCATTGCTGCCCAGGTCTTCAAGCTCAGCACCTGTGACATGTGTGAAATTGCCCGGAACAGTGTCCTGCAGTGCGGCCTGTCCCACGAGGTACGTGCCCCTTCGGGCGCGCGCGGGCTCGCGCCAGGCTCTGAGGGGGCCCGGCCGCCTGTCGCCGTCCTCGGCCTGTACCGCTGTCCTGTCCCCGGCAGGAGAAGGCCAAGTTCCTGGGTGAGAACTACCTGGAAGAGGGGCCCCAAGGCAACGACATCCGGAAGACAAACGTGGCTCAGATCCGCATGGCCTACCGCTACGAGACCTGGTGCTACGAGCTCAACCTCATCGCCGAGGGCCTGAAAAGCGACTAGGCCCGGGCTGGG